GGGGGGGGTGGGTCAAACTTACGTCAGATTCAGATAGACCTGTCCCTTCAAACCCAATAGCTCATAGACATTGACACTATAGTGCTCCATCAACAAATTGCTGTGCTCTATTGACAGTATAAACAAGGAGTCATTTATCTGATACAGCAGCAAGTGTAAGTCCAAGAAAACCACTAATGATTCCAAATTAGAGGATAATTATAAGGAACACCTCTATTGACATGGTGGAATGGGATGACTGATTGTTTTATTAATAGCTTGGTTTGAGACAGCTCATTGTCACTTTGACCTTTGAGGTCACGATTTACACGGCCTCTGCAATGTTAAGTATTGATGGTGCCTACGGACCCACATCCCTGTACATTCTTAATATTATATGTGAGAGGTCTGAGGTCAGATGGTCAGGGCACCAGTATGGTATTCTGGTCTAGACTGCTACTAAATACCCAAGTACACGAAGGAATCTCCGACACATGGTCACACTAATCGGTCATACTAATCACACTAATTGATGGGTATATTTACAAAATAGCAAATTGACATTTCGTCATCGGTCACCGTCTCGTGTTAAATGTGTATGCTACAGGTTAAAATTCAACTTCCTTCAGTCATGTATCCATAAGCTTTTTGAGCTCGTTTGATTAAGATCCTTTGTAATCCACACAATAGTCAAGTATTCTAAATAACGAAACATTGATGATATCTATAAATAATAAAAATTTGTCCAATGGATTATTTTACCGTAAGTTTCTGGATAGTGAGTTTTCAAATATTATGTTTCGGGATAAGCAAAATCCCTCTACTCATACATGGACAGATTGACATATGACCTAGCTGTTGCGACATGGAACTGCTATCAATCAATCAACTATTCAGTCTTTTTATCATCAATTGATCATAATTTTGTCGCTTAGAATTTATGTGTTTAAATTCGTCCATTATTTTAGCAAAAAATAAAATCTCCTAAATCAGTAGTTCCCGTATAATTACGTAAAAATATATACAATATATATTGCCTATATTATGATAACTTAATAACTTAAAATAATGGTGCTGCAATTATAATGCATGATAGGTAATGCTTTAACAGGAGCCATATTACAATACAATATGTATAACTTTAAATATTATACGATACGATATGGATCACTTATCGATTGTATCAAATGATCTATATTATAATACAATGTGTACAGCACAAAAGACATGTATACCTGCAGTATGCTATTTATCATGTCCCGTCGCACCCTGTCATATTTCATTGTTATGATTCTACCATCTCCATTTCTGAACATATTCAAAGGTCAAGTATGAGAATGAGGATTATTTTGTGTTTCAAGGTCCCAATATCAAGGTCAAGGTCACTGTTGTTATTTATAGGTCAACCATAGGGCTTGGGGGGCATTCATGTCTCTTACCAATGTTTTCTATTCCTGTTACTGCATACATTAGTTATTAATTTACAAACAAAATCCAACTTATATTAATCCCTCTTGTTGGCCTGGATGAAAGCATGCAGGGGGTCTAAATGTGGGAGTACACTGAGTACCTGGAGAAAACCCATGTTATTGGGTAGGTGTTCAAATACCTTTTCACGTAGGGTAATATCTGGGAGTCCAATGATGAAAGGCTAGTGCACTATCCATTGTGCCACCCGACTACCCACCACCCAACCTGAATGTAGTAGTCATCTAATGCCTACGAAATAGAGTTAATATTTTGAAAATGACACTACTTATTGAGTTATATATACATGTATTGTTGAATGATTTCTCCCGCTAATATACAGCATGACATAATCACAACAATCTAACAGTTATATTTGTAACACATGGAATAATAATTATTTATGGACATCAATTGTTCATGGGAACTTTCTGTGCAATTAGAAATCAACGTTTTAATTGCATTAGATGTGTGTGTGTAATTAGTGATGCTGTAGCCGTGTAATTAAGCCCGGTAGTTGTTTGTATGTTAACTAACTATTAGGTATGGCTAGTCTGTTTGGCCAGCGACCGGCTGACGCCAGGCCCTATACATAACAGCTTTCTCAAGGAAAATTTAACATATCAATAATATTTTTTAATGCATAAAACATTAAAACTTTGCTTTGATTTGTAATATGAAAAAAGTACACCTGTCAATAATTTTCTAGATAAAGTTTTGATAATGCAAATTGTAATTTCTATTGAATTCATCTGAAAGAGGCAATATATATCGACAGCATGTGCCCAAATTAGCTCATTATATATCTTGTATTGTTGTGTTAGTGTAGATACTGACTTTAGAAAGTTTGGAACCTTAATGTTTCTGACATTTTGTATTGTTGCTGGATAATAAAAACATACTTATTTAAAATCACTCACATTTTAGCACATTTAACAGAGTTTTAAAATCACTCACATTTTAGCACATTTAACTGAGTTTTAACAGATTAGCCAATTGATGAATTGGCACAGTCACAATATATCTCATAGAAACATTATACAGAAACTATCATCATTTGGGCTATAAGTAAAGAGGGGAAGGCATTGAAATAAGATTTCCACTAACATGTGTATGCTTATACGTTATATTGAAATCGTCATCAAGGAGTAACTGCAGGACAATCCTATGTTTCAAATTATTTATCTCTTCTTTTGTTGTAATTCATAAATACTAAGTCAAATTTTGAAAATGTGTTCCAATGTATAGTAGAAAAAAAGGGTTTGAAGACGTTTCCATATACTTAGCAGTGTCACTCCAAAATGTTGAAAGGCAGGTGTATACCCCATCAAAGGCCATATACTTTAGGCCATTACATTGTAGATGTGTATACCCCATCAAAGGCCATATACCTTAGGCCATTACATTGTAGATGTGTATCCCCGATCAAAGGCCATATACTTTAGGCCATCACATTGTAGATGTGTATACCCCATCAAAGTCCTTTACTTTAGGCCATTACATTGTAGATGTATATAACCCATCAAAGGCCATATCCTTTAGGCCATTACAATGTAGATGTATACCCCATAAAAGGCCTTTACTTTAGGCCATTACATTGTAGATGTATATAACCCATCAAAGGCCATATCCTTTAGGCCATTACAATGTAGATGTGAATACCCCATCAAAGGCCTTTACTTTAGGCCATTACATTGTAGATGTGTATACCCCATCAAAGGCCTATACTTTAGGCCATTACAATGTAGATGTGTATACCCCATCAGAGGCCATATACTTTAGGCCATTACATTGTAGATGTATATACCCCATCAAAGGCCATATACTTTAGGCCATTACAATGTAGATGTGTATAACCCATCAGAGGCCATATACTTTAGGCCATTGCATTGTAGATGTATATACCCCATCAAAAGCCATATACTTTAGGCCATTACAATGTAGATGAATACCCCATCAAAGGCCTATACTTTAGCCCATTCCATTGTAGATGTGTATACCCCATCAAAGTCCTTTACTTTAGGCCATTACATTGTAGGTGTGTATACCCCATCAAAGGCCTTTACGTTAGGCCATTACAATGGAGATGTGTATACCCCATCAAAGGCCATATACTTTGGGCCATTACAATGTAGATGTATACCCCATCAAAGGCCCTTACTTTAGGCCATTACATTGTAGATGTGTATACACCATCAAAGGCCTTTACTTTAGGCCATTACATTGTAGGTGTGTATACCCCATCAAAGGCCTTTACTTTAGGCCATAACATTGTAGATGTGTATACCCCGTCAAAGGCCTATACTTTAGGCCATTACCTTGTAGATGTGTATATCCCATCAAAGGCCTATACTTTAGGCCATTACCTTGTAGATGTGTATATCCCATCAAAGGCCTATACTTTAGGCCATTTCAATGTAGATGTGTATACCCCATCAAAGGCCTTTACTTTAGGCCATTACATTGTAGATGTGTATACCCCGTCAAAGGCCTATACTTTAGGCCATTACATTGTAGATGTGTATATCCCATCAAAGGCCTATACTTTAGGCCATTACAATGTAGATGTGTATACCCCATCAAAGGCCTATACTTTAGGCCATTACAATATAGATGCCTGGTCAAAGGACATAGATAAGGGTAGAAAGAAAGCGAGTGGAGGGGGCAAGCAGATCGACAAAGAGGAGGGGGTAACCTTCTGACAAATCAGGATGACAGTAATTATTGAAGATGGTCAGGCATAACAGACAAAATCTATAGAAAGTAAATTATGGAAGGCAGCGTCGTATTCTTGCCAATTAAAATTGCAACAAGAATGTTGTCGAGTTCATTTATGTCTCCTAGCAGAAATGAATACTCCAGCCACAAGATAAATCGTTGAAAATCATGTAGAGATTTGATTATCTGTGTATGTGTTATAGGCATGTAATTGTTCCCGTCGACAGTGATAGGTATACGGTTTGTCATATATATGTATGTAGAGTTTTGTATAGTGTGGCACATGCGAGTCTCGTTTCGTACCCATACCATACATTACCCCTCCATAACGCTCTAATCCTTCAGTACTGATAAACCCGATATAATCTAAGATGAATTCCTTAGATATGGCAGAAATAATTTTTCTCCCATTCCTGTCAATCAAGCGCTCCTACTGTTGGGTTAACAAGGGACCTACCTTTTTATATATATATATAAACTCACGGTCATTATGTATAGTTCTCTCCCCGAATCTCTATATAGCTCCAGCCGATGTAGAGATTTGTCTTTATGTATCGGAACAGTAAAAATGATGCATCCCGCTAAATCTGGAACCATCTCCAGCAT